CATAGATACAGTATATTGGTAAAGTGCAGGACTACTGAAAAATACATTATACATCTAGCTTTAATGGGCAACTCAAATATTTAGGAAATTTTATAGTGAAGTGTTAATACATGTTATACTTGCATGTTTGCATGTTATAAATTTGAATATTAATAACTGTTTGAAAATTAGAGCATCACAGCTCCAGATATATAACTTACATTTATCTAAATCTTTTAGGAGTGCCCGGGTGGCTCTGCGGTGACGCGTCTGCCTTCAGCTCAGGTCACGATCTCAGGGTCCTGGGATAGAACCCTGCATCGGGTTCCTTGCCCAGTAGGGAGTCTGCTTCTCCCTCTCCCCCACTCACTTTCTCTCTCAAATAAATAAACAAAATCTTTAAAAATAAATAAATAGGGATCCCTGGGTGGTGCAGCGGTTTAGCGCCTGCCTTTGGCCCAGGGCGCAATCCTGGAGACCCGGGATCGAATCCCACGTCGGGCTCCTGGTGCATGGAGCCTGCTTCTCCCTCTGCCTGTGTCTCTGCCTCTCTCTCTGTGTGTGTGTGACTATCATAAATAAATAAAAATTTTAAAAAAATAAAAATAAATAAATAAATAAATATATATATATATATGTATATATATATATATATATTATAGTCACCTGGAAGTTAGAATAGGATCTTGAAAAGTTTCATGTTTATTAGGAGTAGTTCTATAAATTATGTCATTAAATGTCATAGTACATATAATTGCTAATATATGGGAAAAGCTAAAATACTCATTTTAGATTATATAATACAATTATTGATTTCTTTTTTTTTTAATTTACAATAGTCACAGAGAGAGAGAGAGAGAGGCAGAGACACAGGCAGAGGGAGAAGCAGGCTCCATGCACTGGGATTCGATCCCGGGTCTCCAGGATCGCGCCCTGGGCCAAAGGCAGGCGCCAAACCGCTGCGCCACCCAGGGATCCCCAATTATTGATTTCATTGAAATATTTCTTATTGATCATTTTATCTTATAAAAGTAAAAACACGCTCTTGGTAAGAATTCAAACTGTGAAGAATTGTTTAAGGGAAAGAATAGAAATTACTTCTTTCTCTACACTCTCCAGAAGTAAAACATGTCCTTATGTGTTTTCCAGAAATTTTCTGAGAATTAATTGATGTGTAGTTATTTATTGGCTGCCTAAAGTTTGTTCTCTATACTTTTATTCTACTCTCTAAAAAGACAAAGGCCTTTTTTGGTGTTGGAATTCAACTGATATTAACAAAATTTCTTCTTCCTTTTGTTTACATTTGCTGTACTTTTGCTTACAGTTTACAAAACTGTACTTTTGCTCATCTTTTGCTTTTAGCTTTTTGAAAATTATCTTCTTTTAGCTGTGTCTGAATAGGTCTTGAATTGGGTTTGAGTATGTGATATAATCTGAAGGGTTTGTTTTAATAAGTAAGTTTAGCTCATTTATATCTATTGATACGCAGACATATTTGATCTTAGTACATTTTATGTATAGCTTTTGATTTTAAAGCCTATTAAAAAAAAATCTCATTTGTCTTCTCGTTCTCTCTCTCCTTCTCCATGTATGTGTTTCTGGCTTGTGGTTCTGTTCTGGTGGTTCTATTTGTAACCCCACTGTTAATCATCCATTTCTATAGGTAGTATCTATTAATCCCTGTTGGGAGCAGTGATGAAATTAGTATATTTCCTTTTCCTTCTCATTCCCTTCTCTTTCTTTTATCACCTGATTTTAGTCAATTGTGTCTTCTTACAGTTTGCCTTTATACTTTTAATATACTTATAACTTGATTCATCAGCTTTAAATTATCCTTTGACATTCCCCCCACCCATCCCCAGCAATTAAAAATTGAGGAAATCAGCTTATTTATTGTAACTTCCACCTTCTTTTACCTTTCCCTTCCCTGTTTTTTGTATCATTTCTACATTGTCAGGGCATGTAACATTTACATTCTGTTCTATTACCCTGATTGCCACCTTTGTTTTCAGTGTTCAACCTGTAATTAGATTCAGTACTCATTACCAATCCTTTCACTTCCTCTTTTCCTAATTTTTATTGTCTGTGATTTGTCCTCGAGGAGGATCCTCAAAAAAGCTCACAAGAACAATATTCCCTGATGAGTTTCTTACCTTAAATATTTAAAAAGCAGTTTAACTTGAACATAAAATCTTCCTTGAGAATTTTCAAAGCATAGCTTCACTGTCTTCTAGGGTTAAGTGTGACCATGAAGAGATAGGAGGCCAACCTAATTTTTTTAGTGCCTCAATCTTAAAAAGAATGTCTTTTCCAGTTGTTAGGTACTGGGGATCCAGTTTCTCAAATGTATCATTTAAAACTTCCTGGTGAATGGGGAGTTGTTTAATGGGTATAGAGTTTCAGTTTTGCAAGATGAAAAGTTCTGGAGTGTGAGTGTATTTAGTACTTAACTGTACACTTAAAAATGGTTAAGATGGTGCATTTTATGTTATTTTGCAACAATTAGGAAAAAGATTCCAGGTTTTTAAAAAACTTTCTTGGAAATTATTAATTTTATCGTTATTTTTTATTCTGTTTATTCCTGCTAATGCTTTTGGTCTAAGATTTTTATTTCATCTGCTATTAACGTAAGTACACCAGCTTTCTTATGATTAAGATTGCTTGGTCTCCTTTTTATTTCTGTTTTCTTCCAGTTTTCTATGCCCTTTTGTCATGTGTCTCATAAAATGGCATATAGCTGGATCTTGTGTGGGTGGTTTCTTCTTTGAAACTCTGTCTTTTGAATTGGTGAATTTAATCCCATTTACATTTACTTTGATTATTCATTATTGATACATTGGTATTTGTTTTCTATTTTGTGCATCCTGTTTACTGAGCTTCTTCTTCCTGCTCTTCATTGCACTGTTTCTTTTTATCTTCTTTATTCCCCTTATTTCCTTTTTTATCTTCTATTCTGATACTGTTTACTCTTAAATTTTTAATGTCTGTTTTCCTGATTTAACAAACACTAAATTTAATCAGCATCTCCCAAACAATACAAGGACCTTACAATAGTTTAACATTCTCTTCTGCTTTACATGTGTGTTGTTATCCTCTGGTAGTTTATTTCCATTTTTTTTTCTTCATCTCTAAAAGCAGTTGCCAGGGTGGTCATTACTTATAATTACTATTTTATACAGTCATTTCCTGTTTAGATTTACCCACATATTTAACAGTTCTCACCATTGCTGCTTGTATGTTGACCCTTCCCTTCTGGATTCTGTTTCCTTCTTCCTAAAATTAAATTTCTTTGTTTTGTTTTCTTGTAGTATTTCTCTCTGTAAAGTAAGCCATCTCCCCCCCCCCCCTTAAATAATAGCTTGCTCATTGCTTTCTGGTTTCTCTTGTGTTGAAAGGTCTTCTATCAGTTTAATTATCATTAAAAATATTGGTAATATCTCCCTATAATTAGTTGTAATATTTTTCTTTGTCTTTGGTGTTATCCAATGTCACTAGTCTTATTTGCTTTGCTGGATTTGTGCTTTTTGTCTTCCATTAATTCTAGGAAAATTCCACATATCTTCAAATATTCTCTCCCCTGTTCTTTTTAGTCTGATCTTCAGTGACTGCTATTAGATGCATGTTAGGCATACTTATCACATCCCTGGGGGAATGACAGGGAATGTCTGTCCCCTTTTGCATGACTTCGCCTTCATATTTTTATCTTCTTGTCTCTCTGTGATGAATTTTAAATAATTTCCTCAGCTCTGTTTTCAAGTTCATTCTTTTTATCTTCTGAGCTGTGTCTAATCTTATGTTTATGACATTTAATTTTTAATTTCAATGACTATTTTTTCATGTTTGTCTATTTTTACTCACTGTGCTTTATTTTACTTTTTTTTTAGCCTTTTGCTTTCAGTTCCTCCTTGATATCCTTATTTCAAAAATATTTCTTTAAAAAAAATTTATTTAATAGTTTTATTTCTAGTATCCGAAGTTCCTGGAGGTGCCGTCCTACTGGGTTTTTTTAGATCTTCTGATCTTTAGTCCTAGGGATTGATTCCTTCCTTGTAGGTTTATACTTTTAGATTGTAAGCTTTAGTACAGTTTTGTCTTTTGAATCCCAGCAGCTAGGATGGAGGTTGTGTCCCTCCAGAGTGGCTTTGCAGTTAGCTCTGCCAGATATTTTAGAAATATTACAAACTTGGAGCTAATTTTGAATTACTGTCTCAGCTTGGCGGTTCATGCAGGTAAGGGTAAATTCAAACCCCAGACCTGCCTGAGGACAGGCCCTTTCCTCCAGCTACCTCTGCAGCAGCACGTGCATTTGCGGATTAGTTTAGCCATCAGACTCATGGACCAAAAAAAAAAAAAAAAAAAAGCTGTCATCTACTATAGTATCTTCATCTCATTGAGAGGCCCAGCAGCCACAGCCTCTGTTGCCTCTTCTCCCATTTAGGGTGTGTATGACTGTTACCCATGAGAGCCTTAGGTATCTATAGGTAGGTCCCTGTGATACAGAAAAGTCACAGCTCCTTTTTACCACCAGTTTTTCTTTTCCAATAAAAGTTACAAGATTTTAGTTTACAAGCCTCTTTTGATAAAGCAAAGTTAATGCAATGAAAATCAGAACATCTAATTAATAAATCTAACAGCGAAGCAATTTTGATGCATAAGTTAACCTGTTTATCATAGGCAAGCAGTGTTTCAAATGATAGAGCTTCTACTTGTCTTTCAATTCCTTCAGACGTTCCTGTGAGGATAGTAGTGCTGTAGGTCCAGGCTCCACTGGCTACAATTTTCAGGCAAGAGCCATGATGCCAGATCCCCACAACTCATCTTTTCATCTTGATTTTGCTACAGAAGAAGCAAGTGTACTTGGCGGGCTGGCTTAATTCCATTTTCATCACCATTTTCCTGAGGGAGGCGCTATAACGAGTCCCATATTTACGGATGATTCTGACCTTCTTGATGTGTTTAGCCATGTCACCCCGAACTAGATTTGGGTCCAGGAGAGAGCTAGCACTAGTTTTGTTTTTTTTACGAATATGGAATGCTTCACGAATTTGCATGTCATCCTTGCACAGGAGCCATTGCTAATCTTCTGGATCGTTCCAGTTTTAGTATATGTTCTCTGTAGCGAGCACCCCACTAGTCTTTTATACTGTCCTAGTCACCCCAAACCAGATGCTGCCCCATACAACAAAGGAAACGCACACATTTATGTTAACTCTCCGTTCCCATGGAAACTACTATGTGAAACCAAGGTCATTCTGAGACTGGCTTGCTTCATTCCAGGCCTGGTGTTAACCCTTTCCATCCAGGCTCCCAAGCTGAAAAACAGCTTGGATTCTATGGAGTTCTCAGTTCTAACTTTCCATTCTGTCTTCTGCCCTGCCTGAACATTAGAATCACTCCATTACCAAGATTGAGTGTTCCAGCTTCCTTCACCAAGGCCAACCACAAAGTGTTCTTTGTTTCTGGCCCTGGTCATTCCTCTTACTTTCTTGAGTTCATTTCAGCTCTGGATTTGAAAAGATGTTTGCTCCACCTTATCAAGCATTTGTAGATATTTTTTAACATTTCTAAGTATTTATAGAAGATTTTTCAAGTTACCTATTCCAAAATAATACTACATTAGAAGAAAGTTTGAAACTACTCAAACAGCCTGAATTCAAATTCTGACAGTATAATTTGTACCCTTTCTAGCAGTATAATCTTTGGCAAGGTACTTGGCCTCCATGAAATTTCTCCCAGCATGATATGGGGATATCAATACCAACCTCAGGGGGTTGTGGTGAGGTTGAATTATTGACAAGGGTAAAGCTCAAAGGCCCCACTGTGGTTTGCAGATTTCTAACCAAGCCTCTGCCAAAGCCTTCAGCGTCTTCTCACACTTCCCAGACATACTCCAGGATAATAACCTACTTGTTCATCCTAAATTATTGTTCCTCTCTCTGACTCCCAAACCTTTATATATAGTGTTCTTTTTTTCTGAACATTCTCCTCCCTTATTCACCTTCCCCCTAACTATTGTACTAATCCTTCATCCCTCAACTTAGATATCAGTTTCTCTATCCTTACTGATCTCCAAGCTGGGGTTAGGTCCTGTGAGAGCCCTGCATTCTCCTATAACACTTAACATTTGCCCATCACAGCACTCAACAGGCTGTTTACTTGTCTGAACATACTTTAGGGGAAGGATTTTGGCTGTTTTGCTCACTGTTGTATCCTCAGCTCCTAATAAAGAGCCTGGCACACAGCTCAATACATGGTAGCTATTATTTTTATCAGCACCTTCATCTGTCATAATTCTCAAATGTCTGATTGTTGTATAAATAACTCTTAAGTATGCCAAGAAGCTTTGAGTTAAGTTACAAGACTGACAAGGGCATGCTTTGTTTCAGAGCCACATTTTAGGCCTTTTTTTTTTCACTTATTCAACCATTTATCCTTTCATACTAGGAACTAACCCAGGAGTGTGATGAAAAGAAATCCCAGTATGATAGCTGTGCAGCAGGCCTTGAAAGCAATCGGTCCAAATTAGAACAGGTAAGAAGATAGTTTTTATTTTAACAATTTAGCAGAAACTGCCTATGCATGCATGTTTTCACTACACCAATATCAAATGATTCCCAAATCTTTACCCTCATCCCCTGAGCCAGTCTCCTAAGCTCCAGATATCTTTATTTCTTCAGGCTTGATGTGTGCACACTGAATGCTCCATCTGTACCACAACCACAAAGTCCAGGTCCCCATCATGCATCTCTTAGATTCCCACAGTAACCCAGATCTATTCTCCCACCTCCATCCTTGCCTTCCTAAGGTTTTTTCCTCCATAGAGAGCCAAAAAAAACCTATAGAAATCTTAGGACACCCTCACTGCTTCTCAATTACTCTTAAAATCTAACTTCTAAACTGTGGTCTATGTGCTCTGGTCCTTATCCACAGAGCCATAGCCACACTGGCCACCTTCCTGCACATCAAACAAGCCAAGCTTATTTTCACCTCATGGCTTTTGCTTATAGCTCTTCTCTCTCTGGAACACTCTGCCTCCAACTCTTTGCCTTGATCTCTCCTTTTCATCATCAGGTCTCAGGCTAAATGCTACTTCCTTCTAGAGGTCTTTTCTGATCACCTTATCTAATATTGCCCGTTCAGTCACCCTATCACATTCTACTGCTGCCTTTCTTCATAGTACTCACTTCCATCTGAAAGTTTGCTTGAATGACAGCAGGAATCTGTGTTATTGTTCATACTGTGTCCTCAGCACCTAGCACAGAGTTGGGCACACAGTAGGTACTTAATAAATGAATAACTGAAGCTGTAAGCTCTAGAAAAGATTGTAACCTCTGATAAACAAAATTGTAATCAAGAAAGAAAAAATTATGCTTATGGCATTTTACTGTACATTTAAGGTCATCCTCCCTGTATTTTATTATTCTTTCAATAATGTTGCCCATTTAAAATTATATATTGTAGGAAGTCAGAGGACTCCGCGAAGAATGTCTTCAAGAAGAAAGTAGATACCATTACACAAATTGTATGATTAAGGTATAACAAAGAAAGTGGATCAAAAACTTTTCTGAGATTTTTCTGGATTAAGGACTTAACTAAACCTTAGTCTTTCCGCCTAGAACCTAGAAATACAACTTCGTCGAGCTACCGATGAAATGAAGGCATATGTCTCTTCTGATCAACAAGAAAAAAGAAAGGCAATTAGGTGAGTAATTTTGTTGTTTCTACCTTGAGTTACTTAATGTTTCCACCCATACACTTTTTTTTTTTACTAAATTTTTAATTTAAATTCCAGTATAGTTAACATACAGTGTTCTGTTAGTTTCAGTTATACAACACAGTGATTCAGCAATTTTATACATTACTCAGTGCTCATCATGATAAGTATACTCTTAGTCCTCATCACCTATTTCACCCAATCCCCCATTTGCCTCCTCCTCTGGTGTGTTCTCTATAGTTACGAGTCTGTTTCTTAGTTTGTCTCTCGCTTTTTTTTCCCTTTTTCCCTTTTTTCCATTTGTTTTGTTTCTTAAATTCCACATATGGGTAAAATCATATGGCATTTGTCTTTCTCTGGCTGGCTTATTTCATTTAGCATTGTACTCTCCAGCTCCATCCATGTTAATACAAATGGCAAGATTTCATTCTATTTTATGGCTGTCTCCTTTTTTTTTTTTTTTTTTTTTTATGGCTGTCTCCTATAGAAGCTTTATAAACAAGGTGGAATTACTAAATTACTAAGATTAGGGGTACTTAAATAAGCAGATACTAAGATATTATTTAGGATTAAATCTTGTTGGGGCCCCTGGGTAGCTCAGTTGGTTAAGCGTCTGCCTTTGGCTCAGGTCATGATCCCAGGATTCTGGGATCGAGCCCCGTGTTGGTGGGGGCTGAGCGGGGAGTCTGCTTCTCCCTCTCCCTCTGCTTGTGCTCTCTTTGTCTCTCTCAAAAAAATAAAATCTTTTATTTAAAAAAAAGGATTAAATCTTGCTGAACATCTTCTGGATAATCCAGCCCTACTACCTAAGTAGGAACACACATAATTTTCTTGTTGGCTTGCTTACTTTTCTTTTTTATCATGTCAAAAAAACATATAACATGAAATTTGCCATTTTTACCAGTTTTAAATATATAATTCAGTTGCACTGATTACATTCACAATGTTGTGCAACGATCACTGGTATATAATAGCAACCCCTTTTCATCATTCCAAACAAAAAAACTCTTGTAATAATTAAACAATAACTCCCCATTCTCCGCCCCCAGGAATACATATAATTTCATGGTTCCTTTTTTATAAGCCCTAAAATTGATCTATTTTTAAGTCCCACGTGGCCTGGACTCTTGTCTCTGCCTGCTCATTGTGTAGTGTGTGACTTGTATTTCAGCTAGAAGCTGTGTGTTTGTAGTGTGCCAGCCTTCAAAACAAGGAAGAATGTGTAAATACCAGTAGCCCTTATATGGTGATTTTTTTGATAATCCAAACTTGTAACATACTGTAATAAATCAAATTCTGCCTAAAAAAAATACATTTATAGTTGAATTGCTAGCTGTGACAAAATGCAGTAATTGAACAAGATAAGCTGTCTTTGCCCCTTACTACAATTCAGATGTTTTTTACCATCCAGTAAGAACTTAAAGGATTCATATTTATTCTAGATTGCAGTTGAGATTTTTAGTGGCGTATATATCAATGTTATAAAAAAGGAATCTAGTAAATGGAATGTTGCAGAGTCTAATTTTTTAAACCTAAAATGCCCTGGAATGCAAGCCAAACTGAAAATGTCCTATAAATAGAACAATATTTTTTCTAGTATTCTGACATATTACACATATTAAATGTACTCATTCACATTCTTTGAATATAACCTTTGCTCAAATAAATTTGTATGGTCAGTGGTAACATTTTATAAATGTGAGAAGTTACTTTTATTCTTGGAAAAAAGAAGTTTTAGAAATTAAGTTCCATTTCTTCCATTACAATATAAATAATAAAGAAGGAAATATTCCCCCTGAACTATATTGGTTTTCTGGCCAGATATTCTTCTTCATCATTTGAAAAATCATCATAAACCTTTACCATTCTTTTGTTTTCCTATAGAAAAATATTTTGGGGATCCCTGGGTGGCACAGCGGTTTGGCGCCTGCCTTTGGCCTAAGGCACGATCCTGGAGACCCGGGATCGAATCCCACGTCGGGCTCCCGGTGCATGGAGCCTGCTTGTCCCTCTGCCTATGTCTCTGCCTCTCTCTCTCTCTCTCTGTGTGACTATCATAAATAAATAAAAATTAAAAAAAAAAGAAAAGAAAAATATTTTGCCCTGACGAGAGTAGTACATAAGAATATTATGAATAAAATGCAGTTGGGCAGCCCAGGTGGCTCAGCGGTATAGTGCCGCCTTCGGCCCAGGGTGTGATCCTGGAGACCCAGGATCGAGTCCCATGTCAGGTTCCTGCATGGAGCCTGCTTCTCCTCTGCCTGTGTCTCTGCCTCTCTCTCTCTCTCTCTCTCTCTCTCTCTCTAATAAATAAATAAAATCTTTTAAAAAATAAAATGGAATTAATTATACTCTAAACTCATCAATACATGTTTAAAATATTGTTATTATAGACACAGTATTTTTATTGTT